TAGATAGATAGATAGATAGATAGATAGATAGATAGATAGATAGATAGATAGATAGATAGATAGATAGATAGATAGATAGATAGATAGATAGATAGATAGATAGATAGATAGATAGATAGATAGATAGATAGATAGATAGATAGATAGATAGATAGATAGATAGATAGATAGATAGATAGATAGATAGATAGATAGATAGATAGATAGATAGATAGATAGATAGACAGATAGATAGACAGATAGATAGATAGACAGATAGATAGACAGATAGATAGACAGATAGATAGATAGATAGATAGATAGATAGATAGATAGATAGATAGATAGATAGATAGATAGATAGATAGATAGATAGATAGATAGATAGATAGATAGATAGATAGATAGATAGATAGATAGATAGATAGATAGATAGATAGATAGATAGATAGATAGATAGACAGATAGATAGACAGATAGATAGACAGATAGATAGACAGATAGATAGACAGATAGATAGATAGATAGATAGATAGATAGATAGATAGATAGATAGATAGATAGATAGATAGATAGATAGATAGATAGATAGATAGATAGATAGATAGATAGATAGATAGATAGATAGATAGATAGATAGATAGATAGATAGATAGATAGATAGATAGATAGATAGATAGATAGATAGATAGATAGATAGATAGATAGATAGACAGATAGACAGATAGACAGATAGACAGATAGACAGATAGACAGATAGACAGATAGACAGATAGACAGATAGACAGATAGATAGATAGATAGATAGATAGATAGATAGATAGATAGATAGATAGATAGATAGATAGATAGATAGATAGATAGATAGATAGATAGATAGATAGATAGATAGATAGATAGATAGATAGATAGATAGATAGATAGATAGATAGATAGATAGATAGATAGATAGATAGATAGATAGATAGATAGATAGATAGATAGATAGATAGATAGATAGATAGATAGATAGATAGATAGATAGATAGATAGATAGATAGATAGATAGATAGATAGATAGATAGATAGATAGATAGATAGATAGATAGATAGATAGATAGATAGATAGATAGATAGATAGATAGATAGATAGATAGATAGATAGATAGATAGATAGATAGATAGATAGATAGATAGATAGATAGATAGATAGATAGATAGATAGATAGATAGATAGATAGATAGATAGATAGATAGATAGATAGATAGAACTGCCAGCTTGTTTAAACCGTCAGTTTGATAAAGTCGAGAGTTAATAACACTTACCTACTTGAAAACCAATAATAACTGATTAAATCAGTAATGTATTGTTTAATAATACTCGTAAAATTAAAACACAACTATCTAATACAATAATGAATAATGCACCACAACTAAATAGTGACAAAGACATTAATACACAGAAAATTCGTGGGAAAATCTTCAAGAAATCCAAGTGTAAGTACTAAATCAATTATACGTTTAGTGTTGTATACCGTCCGTTCATCCTCTATGTACCTCGAGCGGATTCCAGGAATTCTCGATAATATTATGTAGCATGCAATATTTGGAAGCCCCATCCTGGCTTTTTCCGGGGGCCCTAAATATAGCCGGGCCTTAAATATGGCCTAACGGTTGAACAAGGTTTCCAGGACCTCTCCTCGGCCGATTGATCCTCATCCGCGTGGTGGCACCTCGTACAAATTAATTACCTGCCTAGGAATTGTCAAAACTATTCCAATGAGCGGGTGCAAAAACGAAATTCACTAGGACGTTCGTGTCCAGGCAGGTCCGGGAAGGGCACGTGACATTGAGCGAATGGCAGGCCCGCTTAGTCTTGTTGTCTGTCAACAATTGTGGAGCTAGTAGCAGCAGATTCCACTGGGTTGTTGTGTTTCTGGTTCTTAATCTCTAATTTTAATAAATGTATGTTAATTTTCTTGCACGGGTGGCGATGCCCATTGGAAGTGCACGTAGAGTCCTAAGGGCTCATCAGAGCCCCGGTTGAGAACCGCTGCCCTAAAAGATGTGCACAGGATAACTAACTTTCACTTTATGACTATATATTTCCATTAACTTCTATACGTACCGATCAGTACCCTTGAATGTGTGTCTCATTTTATGTCAATGGTATCACTGGTTACGGAGATGTGTTAGAGCCTTAGTTAGTCTTGTTAGGGCTGTGGATGTGTCAGAAACCCCATTGAAAAATATTTTTAAAAACTTCTTCTAGTTTGACCGAACCTAAACTGGACTTCAGGAAAATATTATAAGGAGTAAAGCAAAGAGGTTGGCGTCTGTGGCTTAGGCGTTACGAACGCGCTTCGTAATGCCGGGTGTCAGGTGCTTGCAGGCTTTGCGTCTTGCGTTGGCTTTGATAGATTTACCTAGAGCCTACCGTTCAGTTAGCAATGGCAAACTACTGAATGTAAATTTGACTAGAAAAGCCACAACAGCCAAACAATGCTGGGGTTGGTTCTGCAACGTCCTGTAAAGGATATGCAACTAACTTTAAAAGCCAAGATACTGACATTTTCGCCCACCAAAAGCTAATTTCTATACAGAGATATGGGAGCTAGGACCAAATGGTTAATATAACTCAATGCTGCTTTCTTTATTTTCTTTACTTTTGTCTTACTTTTACGTTTAAAAAAAAACATTGCTTCAAATGTTTTTAAAGGGTTTTCTAAAGGTATGTGCTACATATATCCCTCTGTTTCTTGTAAAAAAAAAAAATAAACACACCAGTTCTCTCGGCAAGGAATTTTACTGCAAACTTACTTCTTACAGAACAAAAGATTCCCCAATTTTTCTTCTTCATCGACTTGGGCTGTACATTTTTTTTTTTTTTGTGGGGACCTGACTGCCTAATGCATCCTAAAAGAATTTTGGGAGATAAATGGTGGTAAACCACAGGGGAGACCAAGAAGACGATGGAGAGATAATATCCAGACAGACCTGCAAACACTTAGTGTCACCAACTGGAAAGAGAAGGTCAGCCAGAGAGATAAATGGAGGCGGGTGATATCTGCAGCAATTAACCTCAAGGGCTCGGAATGCTTAAGAAGAAGAAGGCTTTTTCTTACCTTTTGCCCGAACGGCAAGGAACAACCAACTGCATACACACAAAAAAGCCAGTAAAAAGAATTTACACGCACAACTGAGGCACAAGCACAAAGCTAAAGACTAAACTGACGAAAAACCAGGACTTTCCACAGCCGGTGAACACACACACACACAAAAAAGGACTGAAAACCATATCTACCTACAAGACAACAGGTTTGTGTCCCTGTTCGTCTCGCCACGATATCTTGCCCGACGTCTTACACGGTAGACCATACACGAGGCGGGAGAGCTGGCAGGAGACCGTGTTTCTTTCAAGCAGACCGTGGTGACAGTGACGTTCTGCAAAGAACCTGCTACTTGATGATGCTGATGATAATGACGAAAGGAAACAAACATTTTGTGCTAAAAATACTGAGAAACAGACTATGCACTGGTGTGGTAACACGTTTTAAACCCAAAGGGCAATTACACTGTGTGTTGTTCAATTGGCGGTCCGCGGAAACAATTTGGTCCGCAAAGAGGTCTAGCAAATGGCTCGCGGATCGCTGCCATTTGTATAGTATTATTGCTCTTTTTAATGTTCGAGCCTAATTGAATGGCCCTGCCGCATAGGCCCGCCGACTCTGCTACGTTTTCATAGTGCGCCAAAGTACCCTTCAGCGCTGTTACAATGATAACAGGATAACGTAATACTGTGGCTGGAGCTCACCTCTGTCCGTATGGATTCCAGGGCCCTATTAGGAGAAAAAGAAGAATAGCCCACTGTCTTCCCAACAAGCATGTCGTAAGAGTCGACTAACTAGGAGATTCCTTCGAAGTCGGAGTGCATATGCCTGAGAGGCAAGGAACCAACAACTTGCATACAGTTTTGCCAGATCTGCTAAACAAGTGGCTGTCAATAGTTCTAATGCTGGAACTCTTTAATACAGTTCCTCATGTTGTGGCAACTATCAGCCATACAATAATTTTCGTTGTTGCTTCATAACTTCAATGAATATGTGTTTCCCGATGGACTTATGCGGTCTTAGGCGACTTCGTGTAAAAGAGTCGTTTGACCCCAAAAAGGAGTCGTTACCCACAGGTTGAAAACCGCTGTGTTAAACGGATATGTACATAACACTCGGGTTCTGGAACAAGAAGATTAAAGTGCAGACATGGACACCTAACCGGAACTTTCTGCCGGAATTTACAGCCAGTGAACGCGAAGAAGAAGAAGAAGAAGACGAGCTTACCTCTATTATATAAATATATCAACCTGAGGTTATGAGAATTATTTAGAGATTATGAGCGTTATTTCATAACTCCAGCATCTGCTGTTCGAATCGACTGCAGGCTACGCGCCAAAGTTCCGACGGAAAAAAAGTAGGTACTGAGTGTTGTCCTGCTACTATAGTGCGACATCCGAGAGCAAATACTTTGGAGGAAGCTGCAGGAGCTGCGGTAGCTGCTGGTCGTGAGTCCCAGCCATCTAATTTAGCCCCCTCCGCGCCGCAGCGCGGGGGATACTCTCGGAGGTGACACTATAGTCGGCGAAAAGCGATCGGCAACTTACATAAAACTCAGGCCCTGCCGTAGCGTAGCGCTGTCGGGAGTATTGTCAGCGTGTCGGTAATTTTTTTCGTATGCAGTTAATCCTTGTTTTGCCGCCATCTAATCGCCGTAAAAGAATCCGTTGCGTTCCGTGAAAATGTCGTGCGCAGTTAATACTACTTTTGACACGCTTGAATCGCCGCAACAAAAATGCGACTTTCACATATGTGTGAGGCTCTGTTTGGGATAACTATCTGTGTTGTGAGGCTCTGTTTGGGTTAACTGTCTGCGTAGTTCGTATGGAACCGTTATTCGAAAGATTGCCAAATTATGTTGTGATGTTGGGAAATTTCTGCCGTAAAGGATATTCAGCTAACGTATTTTTGTTTTTATACCTAATAACTTAGTCTTGCAAGCAGAACCTGGTCTATGGGACATTGGATGAGAACGTCGCGGCATATACAAGCTTCGCAACACTGTCTTGTACAGATAAAGACACCGGTCTAGGGGGAAAAGTCTCCTATCAAGTTATTTTAGGTGAGGCACTGCATAATAATTTATTTTAAGTGATGTAGTAACAATTAGTTAGTTATATGCATCCATCTTCCTTTTGTTTTTTAATCTAGGTCGCTACCTGAAGGTTTTATCATTCTGACATTACCTGGTGACAATGCAACTGGGCGAATCTGCGATACCCCGTACAACCTCCATATACCTTATATGATTAGAGGTTAAAAGGGTAAAGTCGAGAGGATCAACTTCATTGCACCGGGTTTTATCCCATAATTCTTGGTCTTTCTCCGCAGAACGGCTAGCTCCTGATGAGATCGCCGCGCAGAGCACGAACTCTGTGATTCCGACGACGATCCCCAGGGATCTCTTTAAAAATTGCATTCGTGAACAGTAGGACACAGCCGTGGAACGAACCCACTGGGGAAGCCGCAAGGGCTTTTCCTCCCCCAAAACGATTAATAGAAACTTGAGTGTGAGAGTAGCCATGTACAGAAATGTCTTTTAATACTACAAACCTACGTTATTAAAAAAAAAAAAAATGGCATTCCTTTCTGCTTCTTTCAAGGTAATGTATTTCTACCCCACGATGTTCCGTGACTCACGCGGAAATAGGATCTGTATTGCAGTTGGCTCCTCTTGCATTTCAAATCAGTCTTTGCACTTTCATAGCTTTGTTTCTGCTTCTAAGTGTATAGTTGTAGGTTTTTGTTTAAAGATTGATATTTTATAGTCACATCCCCCCCCCCCCCCCCCCTTAAGAATGACGGAAAACAGAAACTGACGGTTAAACGAAGTTTCACTGCAGTTAATGGCAATATTCTGTCCCAGAGAAGAATTATCGCCCCTTTTTGAATAGTTAATAGTGTTACTTCGTCCTAAAAAAGTGTTATGTACCATTTCTGAGCGATTGACAGTGTTATGTACTATTTCTGAGCGATTGGCAGTGTTATGTACTATTTCTGAGCGATTGGCAGTGTTATGTACCATTTCTGAGCGATTGACAGTTTTATGTACCATTTCTAAGCGATTGACAGTTTTATGTACCATTTCTGAGCGATTGACAGTGTTATGTACCATTTCTGACAGACTGACATTTTATGTACCATTTCTGAGCGATTGACAGTGTTATTTACCATTTCTGACAGATTGACAGTTTTATGTACCATTTCTGAGCGATTGACAGTTTTATGTACCATTTCTGAGCGATTGACAGTGTTATTTACCATTTCTGAGCGATTGACAGTTTTATGTACCATTTCTGAGCGATTGACAGTTTTATGTACCATTTCTGAACGATTGACAGTTTTATGTACCATTTCTGAGCGATTGACAGTGTTATGTACCATTTCTGAGCGATTGACAGTTTTATGTACTATTTCTGACAGACTGACAGTGTTATGTACCATTTCTGAGCGATTGACAGTGTTATTTACCATTTCTGAGCGATTGACAGTTTTATGTACCATTTCTGAGCGATTGACAGTTTTATGTACCATTTCTGAACGATTGACAGTGTTATGTACCATTTCTAAGCGATTGACAGTTTTATGTACCATTTCTGAGCGATTGACAGTTTTATGTACCATTTCTGAGCGATTGACAGTTTTATGTACCATTTCTGAGCGATTGACAGTTTTATGTACCATTTCTGAGCGATTGACAGTGTTATGTACCATTTCTGAGCGATTGACAGTTTTATGTACCATTTCTGAGCGATTGACAGTTTTATGTACCATTTCTGAGCGATTGACAGTTTTATGTACCATTTCTGAGCGATTGACAGTGTTATGTACCATTTGTGACCGATTGACAGTGCTATGTACGATTTCGGACTGACTGACGTTCAACCCCATCAGGTCATTACATTCAGGGATAAACACCCGGTGACACAAGAGTCACCATTGGGATGAAGATCACCAGGGGACAGGACCCAGAAAACCCCTTCCCCTGTTAGGTTATATTAGGGCCCCCGACCAGAGCAAGGGTGGGGCTTAAAAACAGCCAACAACTGCATCCTGAATTATTGGGATAGCGACTTTTGCACCTTTTCTGAATGCTAGTACTCTGTGCCAGGTATTTATTATATATCTGTTCTAGACAGCTTTTAGTAAAACTATTCTAGATACGTGTTATACACCCTTTTTTTGTGTTAGTTATTGATATTACTGTGCCCAGTCAAGTGATATATGACTTTTTATTCTGAATTATTACTAGAATAATTTTGGCTCATGCACGTACTGTAAACTTCTTTAAATAGCTACTCGTGTAAGTCTGTTTCACATATGTGTTATATATCATTTCCCAATAGTTACTGGCACAGTTCTGTCCCAGACACGCCTTCCGTATCAACTGAGACCCATTTATTAATTTATAGTCGACTGTCCGAAACATTTATTTTTTAATGTCTTTTATTTGGTGTGTTAGGAAATGAGCAGGCGGATAGACTGACCGGTTCTGCGCCATTTGGTGGTGAACTGATATATGACAAGCTGGATGTTGTGAGGGCCTTTTGCGAGCAAATGAACAGTGCCGAGGAATATTACGGTCTGAGAAGAATGGCACTGCGAGGAGTGACAAGGGGATCTGGCCGACGCTCGACACTCAGGGGAGGGGCGAGACTGATATACAATCAGACTGTTACTGGTACTATCGGAATTTTAACTTTTCGCCTGCTGCTGAAGATGGGGACGGAGTGCTTATGGGAGTGTCCCGAGTGCTGGGATGTCAATTCTTAAATCTACATTCAACATTTTAAGTCTTTTATTTACAGAACAGTTTGAAGTGAGGGACCTTTTTTCCCGGACAGTTACCTTGACTGATCATCCGTCATCCTCATGAGGGATGCAATTTTTCGTTATTTGAAGTCCAACCCTGGCTTCTGCCGGGGACCCTGAGTATAGCCGAGGCATAGATATGGCTTAGCCATGGATATGGCCTAACAGCTGAAAGGGGTTTCTGGGACCTCTCCCCGGGTGGTTCTCGTCCGCATGGTGGCACTTTGTGTCACCGGGTGTTTATCGCTTGTGTGATGTCCTAGTGGGGTAAAAAGTCAGTCAATCAGTTACCATGGCAACTCATTTTTTTTATCAAAAACACTTGGAGTGACCCATGGGTAATTCGGATTCGGACCAAATAAATTCTTTATGGCTCATATTCAGTTGTGGAAAATTTTTTTTCAAGTTTTGTTTCATTTCTTACCTCCTGCTTCGTTTTCTTGTGACCGAACTTGCAAAAAGTGCATACCAGGTGAGCTTTCATTATAAGCACTGTTTTCTTTCTTTCTTTATTTTTTTCTTTGTTTCTTTCTTTCTTTCTTTTTTCATTCTTTCTTTCTTTCTTTCTTTCTTTCTTTCTTTCTTTCTTTCTTTCTTTCTTTCTTTCTTTCTTTCTTTCTTTCTTTCTTTCTTTCTTTCTTTCTTTCTTTTTCTTTCTTTCTTTCTTTTTTTTTTCTTTCTTTCTTTCTTTCTTTCTTTCTTTCTTTCTTTCTTTCTTTCTTTCTTTCTTTCTTTCTTTCTTTCTTTCTTTCTTTCTTTCTTTCTTTCTTTCTTTCTTTCTTTCTTTCTTTCTTTCTTTCTTTCTTTCTTTCTTTCTTTTGTCTCCATCGTTTGTTTATTTGTTTCTTTTTCTCGTTCTGTCGTTTGCGTCTTCTTTTGTGTGTGTGTGTGTGTGTGTGTGTGTGTGTGTGTGTGCATAAGCTGGTATCATGACGTATTCCTTGTTGCCTAACTTGAAGTGTAATGTTGAATAGCTGGGACAAAACATATGTCTTAACTCGCTGAACAGCGGCGAATGCGGAAGGATATAACATATAGTGTGTGTTGTATGTGTCCTCTATGAATAAGCACAATTATGTCTAACATTACCGTTTCCTCTTCAACATCTGGACGGGAAGGCAATAGCTCCAACAGCAGGTCAGACACCATTGGCGTCGGGGCTACCAACGGTTCTCTGTTCATCCTGAGGCAGATTGACTATGATAAAGAGCCTAATACCTTCCAGGCATTTGTGTTAGTGTATGATGGCGGATCCCCAGCATTTTCTATGACTGTTACTGGGGTGCTTACCGTCAAGGACGTCGATGACAATGCCCCGGTGATGAGCGAGCCGACGATTCAAGCAGGTAAGCGTCTTATTAGTGTATCTATCCGTGTCTTCCGGAGCCGCCATGTTGCGGCGGTTAGGCAACACAGTATAATATAATAGTGTGTTTGTGTGTGTGTGTGTGTGTGTGTGTTGTCCATCAAGATGATGATGACCACTCTTTATCATCAAGTATGAGCACGAAGATGACTGATGAGGCCGATGCGGGCCTGAAAAGTTGTTGGACAGTGAGGACAGGGAATGAGTGTTGTGCCAGGGATGGGATCTCCTGCAGTCGCCTTTCTGTCCATCCTTTTTCTAATCAGTTTTGCTGTTATGTTTGCTTCACATGCAGCCGTGCCCTTGGGTAGAACTGAACCCCGCTGCAACGGAGTTCGTGCACTGCGCTCAGATTCTTCAGACTCAGGCTTGATTTAGAAGTTAAACGGAGCACTTATGGGTACCCGCGTGCACCGGCGAGAATCCGAAAGTCTTTGGGTAGATTTTTAACTTGCAATTTTGCCCGGTCAGCGCCGTTAGGCTAATCTTTTTGATTTCCAACCGCCAAGGGCGTCCCATCCCACTATCCAGAGACCAGGGAAATTACTAGAAGTCTAAGTCCACGTAAAAAAAAATCCAACCCAATACCGGGAATTGAACCAGGAACCTCTAGCACTTGAGGCGGACACCAAGTCCCAAGACCACGCAGCCCATCAAGCGTGGAAAAACGTCCTTCACTGTACTTGTTCCATGAATTCAGTTTCTGCAGCTTAGCCGATGCGATTCCGGCTTCGAGCCATCTGAATTGAATCTCTTCGTTTGCTGCTGAAGATGGGGACTGAGCGCTTATGAGGGTATCCCGAGTGCTATGATGTCGATTCGTAAAACAACAATCAACTTTCAAAAATATTCATTTTGGCTTTGGTCGATTCCAGTCCGCTGTCAGCCAAGGACTGTCGGATGTTATCAACCATGTTTGTTCTGAAGGGCTTGTTCCCTGGTTCTTAGCCTCCAATGCCTAACTGCATAAAACACTTATTTATAAATTGTTACGCAGAGCGTTCTCGTGATATCGCTAATATTTTATTATAGAGAACCGTCGTGGCGTAGCGGCTAGATGCTCGCCTGCTGACCTGAAAGTCAGGGTTCCAATCCACATCGAGAGAAATGTTTTTCAAAAATGAACTTGGTTTCAGGTCTTATATAGTTAAGCAATCATCTTCTACACTGGGTATATAGGTAAGATCCGTCTGGTTTTTCCCTCTGCGATAACAAATGGTAATCATAGTTTTAGACAAATAGGTAATTGGCCTGTGTGCCTTTTCATGGAGAAGGGAATGCCTCTTTGCAGTCTCTACGCAGGCCGTCTGTTTGATTCATGGTTACCCACTCCTTCCGCAGACGTATGAAGCACTCAGGTTTAGCCAGACCCTCCTCCTTTTTTTAACCAGCCTTTGAACCGGTCTTGGTGGAGGTGGCTCCAAAGTCTACACAATCTTAAAAGACTACCAGGTAATGTTAAGCTATCTGCGTATCATTCACACGACATTGCAGAACCAACACCAGCATTTTTTAACTATTGTTTTTTTTTTTCTAGGCAAATTTTATGTTCAGCAGTTTGCCATTCCTTCTGAAAGGTTAGCTTTCGGTACCACGGTCGAAACCAACGCAAGACAAATCATCCGCAGCTGGAATCGAACCTGGCACCCGGCATTACGAAGCGCTTTCGCAACGCCTAAGCCAATGACGCCGATAGGAACAGGAAAGTAAAGGCGGCCATCCCGATGTTAACTAGCCACATTACCTGTCGAGTTTATAAAGATAAAGATCTAGATCTATTTGCCTGACGCTCAAAAGCGTGAGAAATCTCATTGACTTGCGATGTTATAATGAAAGCGATAACTTGTATTATTGCAGAAGTCAACGAGAACGCCATGTTAGGAACGACTGTAGTGAGAATTAATGCCACAGACCCTGATCAACCCAACACCCCAGCCTCCCAGATCATCTTCACAAGCAGCTGCAACCCCGACTCTCTAATGGTAGACAGAACCTCAGGTATGTGTGTTTACGTAGCAAGTCCATCGCTCTCCAAGGGCTAAAAGATCACCCAATCCACCATTTTTAACTACTCGTGCATCTTCGTGCACACAGTGGTAAAACTCATTTATTATATATTGACAGAGTAACAGAAAATTTATTGATCGATACTCATAGAAAGAAGCAGAAAGATAGAAGAACACACTAGGCAACATAAAAATCGAAATCTTTAGTTACCGTGCCGGGAATCGAACCTGTCACCTCCAGACGAACAAACTTTATTATGTACGGCCCTTCAAAACACCCATCTTTCACACAGCAGTTGTATTTTATCAATAAGTAAGTTATATTTATATGATAATATGCATACTGCGATATATTAAGAGAAAACACAAAAGCATGGGTGGTAAAATGAATGCACACACTTGAGCAAGCACGCGCACACACACAAACGCGCGCGAACTCCCACTCACTTAAACACGCATACATACACACCCACATACATTCATTCACACACACACACACACACACACACGTAAACACATATCCTTTACCCACATACATGCTTACCTACACACATGCACACACTTTCTAAGCACATACATAAATATACACACATGCACACACAGACACACCCACATAAACCAACGCAGACATACACACAAACACACATACATTCACAGACCCAATCACATACACAGATACACCCAGACATACATACGCGGACACACACGCACACACACATGCACAAACATACACAGGTGTCGATAGACACACACACAAACACATACACAGAGATACACACACACTCTCTCTCTCTCTCTCTCAGACACACGCAGACACACTAACATACACACACAATCGCAGACACACACTCACACATACGCTGATGCTCACGCAGACAAACACACAGAGACACACCCACAGACACACACCCACAGAAACACACCAACAAACTCATACGCATACATACAAACACATAGGCACACACACAGATACACGCAGACACTAATGCAGACAAATAGAAAAATTATACGAAATGCCAGGATTCGAACCTGGAATCTTCTGATCTGTAGTCAGACGCATTATCCGTTGCGCAAATAGCAGATAACTGAAGGCACATCCCATAGAGGCAGACTACACTGAAAAAGTGTGACAACCCAAAGGTCCACACAACAATACACGTGACAACCCAAAGGTCCACACATCAATACACGTGACAACCCAAAGGTCCACACATCAATACACGTGACAACCCAAAGGTCCACACAACAATACACGTGACAACCCAAAGGTCCACACATCAATACACGTGACAACACTCTCACACTATCGTTGTTGTTGTTTTTTTTTTTTTTATTAAACCCAAAACATCAGTTCTGAATAAAACAATTAAAAAAATGAAATTTTCTGGCTTCACCAAATAAAATAATTTATTGTGTGCATCACTAACAATGCACAAACTCACAAGACCACACCACCAACAAAAAATAGTCTTATTTAAATTGGATAACTATGTACCTGACGCCAACAAACAATGCAAGACAAAAAACCTAGAAAATCTTTGACAATCTGTCAGCTCTCTCTGGCAAATAGGAGCGTTAATATTAAGACACTATGACCTATCTAAATAAATCTAAAATATACATAGATCAGTCATATAAATCCAAGAGACAGGCATCATATATGCTGTAATTTGCTCCATTTAAATTTACCACTACCTGTGTTACTATTTATCTTTACATATTTCATTCATATTCATAGCACAAATGATGCGTGACAAAACCACTGCATTTCAGTCTTTGCATTACCAATATCAATAATCAATGAAAATATTAAACAACGTGGGAAAGTGTGCGTTCCCATCTAGCCTCATTCATGTATACTTATATTCCTTCAGCTGGTACTCTTTGGGGTCTAGACAATTACATAGCCAATAACATGTGAAATAACACATTACTACATTGTCCAGATATGTATGCCAAATTCCTGTAAACATAACACCATATACCTTACCATACTTCATCATATTTTACCCATTTGCTTATAGCATCACCTCCCTTTTCATTACGTATAATAAAACTACTATTATCTTATATTATTATCCCATATTAGCGGTGATAGATGTTGAGCACAAGGTTGTCCAAGAATAATATGGAAAAATAACATCAGAGAAACTCTACAACAGCACGATGTGTCTATGGTTTAATCGGCCATAAGAGCCAGAATCTGAACCTTTCATCTCTCTTAACACCCGAAGCGGTAAAACAGGAAGTAGAGAATGAGATACGTACCCTTGCAGTGGATCTCTTTTTCAAAAAGGTAAAGACAGGATTGCTTCGAGCAGAGTGACAAGCTTCACTTGCAAGGTCACGGTAGTGAGCATGCTTTGAATCTTTTCTCCAGACTATGCAGGCGTGGTGGAGAATGAACAGGCAGACAGATTGGCTAGATCTGCACAACTGAGTGGTGAATTTATACATTACAAGGCAGATGTTATCTGAGCCGCGTTAGCGAAGTCGATACGAGGCTCGCTTTCAAATCCAGCTGCGACTCGCTGCAGCCATGGTCGGTGTTCGAAACCGGGCGGCTTCCGGGGTTCACCTAGCCTCTAGGGAATGGGTACCAGAGTTGACACGCTGGGGTAAAAGGAGGAACGTCGCTGTAGCTACAGAGTTACGTGAGGACAACGACACAGGCGGAAGGTTTCGTATCAGCTGTCCGTACTGGTGGCAGAGCACTTATGGTTTATAACCGTGTACAATGACTCTGATTCACATCTCCCGACTCGGCCTTTTTTTTTGTTATCAGAGCACGTTGGGATTAAGCAACGAAGTTTATTATGGGCTGGGAAAAATGATGCACCTGGGTGTGACCAGAGGGTTCGGCCAGCACACTACGCTCAGAGGGTGGGCAAGACGGACATACAACCAGACTACGACCGGCACCATTAGTATTGGAACTCTGCGCTGGCTGCTGGGGATGGGAACAGAGCGCTTATGGGAATGTCCCGACTGCTGTTGTCAATTCCTAACTCAACTTAACTCAACTGGATCACTTTGTATGAAAAAATAAATTTGATTGGGGGTTAATTTTACGTAAATAATGCCTCCCACCAGAGTGACCTCTTGTTTACTTCTGGATCCACATGTTAGCAAGGATCTGCGATTTAAAACCTAATTAATTAACCAGTGAGCTTCTAAACATCTGGTTCATTGTTATTATTGTCACTACCACCACCACCAACAGTAACAATTAACTATACAATGAGTAAACATGCATTCAAAGCTGACAGTTATTATGAAATCAATGTGATTCAACAGGTGATCTCATTGTAGCTAAAGATTTAGATTATGAGAAACAGCAGACTATCAACTGCCTCATCTACGCGTACTCTGAAAAGTCAACCACAAGCATGGCCTCAGTAACAGTAACGATAACTGACGTCAATGACGGGATGCCTGAATTTTCTCAGGTATAATCTTTTTCTTGTTCTTCTTCTCTCCTACTGCTGATGCTGCAAGGCGTCGCAGCGGGGAGTTATGTGTATTTTCTTGTTTTCTGCTAGTTGTATAGCTTGTGTTAAATGTCATACTGTGTTTCTGTTGTGCCTCTGCTACTCCCTCCGCCCATGTCTTTCGTGGACGCCCACTTACCTTGTAGCCTACCGTTTTCATATTCTACACAGTAGTTGCTGGCTGATTTGGTCCCATTCTGACCAGATGACCAAACTGGTTGATTCTTTGATGATCTATAAAACGATTTACTTGTACTGTGCCAACTATTGTTGTTAGTTCTTCATTGATGACTGTCTCTTCTAGTTGTTTTTGTCCCCGTTTCATTCCTTATACATTTCATGTCACATGTAATTTTGTGTTATGTTTATCTACGATAGTCCATGTCTAAAAAGATATAAAACATCTTATAATCATAGAAACCAATATAATGTAGGCTTTCTCAGAGATAAAGAAATTTAGGAACAGTTCTCAGTTACGGTCTCTAATAAGTACCAGGTGTTGCAGCAGTTAGCTGAAGATGTCAACACAGAAGTCTGCTGGGATCAGATCAAAGGAATCTGGAATGAATCTTGCGTAGAAGTTCTTGGCAAGAAAGAAAGGAAACATAAATCATGGATAACACCAGAAACCATTAAACTGATTGAAGAAAGGAAAAGTAAAAAGGCAGAATTAAACAATAGCAAAACTAGAGCTGCTAAAGCTAGAGTTCAGGAGAAATACACAGAAGCCAACAATGAAGTTAGGAGGCATATAAGGGCAGATAAAGTGAAATATCTAAATGATCTAGCACAAGAAGCAGAGACAGCAGCAGCAAAAGGAAACCTCAGAGAACTTTACAGTAACACAAGAAAATTAGTAGGTAAATATAGTCAGCCAACTGGATCAATCAAAAATAGTCAAGGAAAGGTACTTACTAACACTAAAGATCAAATGGACAGATGGGTTGAATATTTTGAAATGCTTCTAAATAGACCAGGCCCGGAGGTTCCCCAGATATCCAGCTTTTAGAAATGGAACTGGATATCAACTCTGAGATACCATCCAAAGAGGAAATTAGAAAAGCTATAAATCTTCTCAAGGAAGGAAAGGCGACAGGCCCAGATGGTATCCCAGCTGAAGCCATCAGGACCAACATAAACACATCAACAGAATTGCTACATAGATTATTCAGTAAAGTCTGGGAGACCGAAGAAATACCAGCAGACTGGAGAGAAGGATATCTTATGAAACTGCCCAAAAAGGTGATCTACAGGAGTGTGAAAACTATAGAGGAATTATGTTGCTGTCAGTTCCTGGAAAAATATTAAGTAGAATTATTTTGGAAAGATTAAAAGATGCTATTGATAAAATGTCAAGAGATGAGCAGGCAGGTTTTCGGTCAAACAGATCCTGTACTGATCAGATAACTACATTACGTATTATAATAGAGCAAAGCATTGAACTGAACTCACCACTTTTCATTGGATTTATCGACTATGAAAAAGCATTTGACAGCGTTGATAGGGAATATCTCTGGAAATTGATGGGGCACTATGGAATCCCTCAGAAAATTATCAACTTAGTAAAGGCAACATATAAAGACATGAAATGTCGAGTTCTTCATAACAGAAAGCTAACAGACGCATTTGAAATAAAAACAGGTGTGCGACAGGGATGTCTTTTGTCGCCTCTCTTATTTTTACTGGCTATAGACTGGACTATGAAAACAGTAACTGCTAACACCAAGAATGGAATTCAGTGGACCCCTACAAAACAGCTTGATGATCTGGACTTCGCTGATGATATTGCTCTTCTGTCCCATTCACGGAATCAGATGCAAGATAAATTAAATATACTTAATGCTAGATCACAGCAGCTTGGTCTGAAAATCCATAAAGGAAAGACAAAGATAATGAGAATAAATCAGGCAAATAGTAATGTGGTTTCTCTTAATGGCACCCCACTCCAAGACGTGGAGTCGTACACCTATTTAGGCAGTAATGTAGATAAAGATGGAGGAACTGATAGAGATATTAAAATAAGAATACAAAAGGCAAGATGGGCTTTCCTAGCACTAGTGAATTTGTGGAGGTCAAAAGAAATTAAAAGAAATACTAAACTAAAATATTTTAATTCTAGTGTCAAATCAGTACTATTGTATGGGCGGAAACATGGAGAACAACCAAGGCAATTACTAATAAATTACAGACATTCATTAACTGGTGCCTGCGCAGAATAGAGGAAATAAAATGGTAGAGTGGCTAATGTAGAACTTTGGGAGAGAACTAAACAGGCTCCAGTGGATCAGGAAGTGAGGAAAAGACGCTGGCGTTGGATAGGGCACACACTGAGAAAACAGGAGAACAGCATAACTAGAATGTCTTTGCATAGGAACTCACAGGGGCATAGGAATAAAGGAAGGCCAAAAAACACATGGAGAAGAGAGCTGGAGAATGCGGTTAGAAAGATTGGGAGGACATGGGGAGAGCTCCATGTAATGGCGAAGGATATAACGACTTGGCGTGAGTTGGTTGAGGGCCTATACTCCATTGGGGGATAGAAAGGCAGAAGAAGAAGAAGAAGAAGAAGTCCATGTCTGGTATTGTTAGTAATAATAGCCCGTGTACAATCAACTTGTGTGTGTACATGTTGATATTTTAATATCTCAGAAGTGGCGCTTTTTTATTTTAATTCTTTTTTTTTGGTTGGCCTTCTGTTTTCTGTTTTCTATTTCTCTGTCCAATCCTCCCTTTAGTTAAATCCATTGGATTGTTTTAATAGCTTTAATAGCTGTCCTTCATCAGTGATGACTTGTTGATACGGTTTTATATGTACAAGGTATATCAAAAAGTACAAATCACGGATGTGTTGTTTGAATGTTTTCGGCTTCTTTTTCTTTTTCATACGATCTCATTATCTAGTGATATTTAAAAATATAATCACGTATCCTTATCCGCCATTGGCAGCTGCCAGTTAGCCCCACTGCTTAGACACCTGAGTGTCTCCCTTCCTGCCAAACAGCAAATTATTGATAGCATCTTTATCCCTACTTTATGTTATCAGTGCTAAATATGGACAAGGAATAGGGCATTGGAACAGAAAATAACTGTATATGAAATGGGCTGTCTCCTTTAGGTCACTAACAACACAAGAAGAGACAGGATTACGTAAACAACCATTAGAGAAAAAGTTGGAATAAGACCAAGTCTAGATTAGGTTAAAGACAAAGAATGAGAATGTAGCCAGACCAAACTGCATATGAGACTTTTTTGTTTTAAACAGCAGAACATCTGGGAAGAAGGCGAGAGGAAGACCAAGAAAGAAATGGATATATAATGTAGCAGAAATCTGCAAACAGATTAACAAATTCATCACCCAATCCATCCGAGAAGCGCAAGACAAATACAGGAAACTGCGACACTGGGCTACAACCTGGTATCAGTGAGACGACAAAAGAAGAAGAGGACCCACCACTGGCGCATCAGGCATATGGTGCAAGACTACTAGTTTTATGGAACAACTGTCACTAGATGGGTGATGTGGTTACTTAGTCACTAGATAGATGATGTGGTTACTTAGTCACTAGATAGGGGATGTGGTTACTTAGTCACTAGATGTGTGATGTGGTCACTTAGTCACTAGATGGGTGATGTGGTCACTTAGTCACTAGATGGGTGATGTGGTCACTTAGTCACTAGATGGGTGATGTGGTCACTTAGTCACTAGATGGGTGATGTGGTCACTTAGTCACTAGATGGGTGACGTGGTCACTTAGTCACTAGATGGGTGACGTGGTCAAGTCTCTAGATGGGTGATGTGGTTACTTAGTCACTAGATGGGTGATGTGGTCACTTAGTCACTAGATGGGTGACGTGGTCACTTAGTCACTAGATGGGTGACGTGGTCAAGTCTCTAGATGGGTGATGTGGTTACTTAGTCACTAGATGGGTGATGTGGTCACTTAGTCATTAGATGGGTGATGTGGTCACTTAGTAACCAGATGGGTGACGTGGTCAAGCCTCTAGATGGGTGATGTGGTCACTTAGTCATTAGATGGGTGATGTGGTCACTTAGTCATTAGATGGGTGATGTGGTTACTTAGTCACTAGATGGGTGATGTGGTCACCTAGTCACTAGATAGGTGATGTGGTCACCTAGTCACTAGATTGGTCACCTAGTCACTAGATGGGTGATGTGGTCACTTAGTCATTAGATGGGTGATGTGGTCACTTAGTCACTAGATGGGTGATGTGGTCACCTAGTCACTAGATGGGTGATGTGGTCACCTAGTCACTAGATGGGTGATGTGGTCACTTAGTCACTAGATGGGTGATGTGGTCACCTAGTCACTAGATGGGTGATGTGGTCACTTAATGACGATTACCTTTAAAGGTTAAATACTGTCACGATGATGCAATCGGAATTGGGACTCTGCGCTTGCTGCTGAAAATGGCGACGGAGCGCTTAAGTGAACGTTACGAGTGCTATGTATGATGTGGATTCTGAATTCAATATTCAATTGTCCAGGCCACAGAAAATGGGGTGAGGATAACTAGTTTGTTTCTTCGTCGCCTCTTCTTCCACCACAAGAAATCTCGGAAATGATCTAATACCCATTTCTATGAGGCCGGGTCTACATCAGAACCGAACTGATTGAAAACAGACACTACCATTTCTGAGAGTTGAACTGGCACCACTGTCTCGGCAGGCAAACGCGATATCCACTGTGCCAGTTTTTCCTCGGTTTGTGCTCTGCAGAACAAATATCAGGAGCCCGCGATAAAAATTTGAAAAATAAGTTTATACCGCCATGTTTTTGTTCCCCCTTTTATTTATAAACGAAAATAAGTTCTTCAGTTTGATTGATAAAAATATCATAAAAACATAAAGTCAAACAAAAAAACACTATTTAGCTTCACAGTATAACAAACACAAATGGACAGTGAACGTTGCGGCTACATAGCCTTCATCAGTACGTTACATAATCAACGAAACCACATGTACAGAACACAAATACACTAAATCTTTTAACTGATGTATTCCTGATAGCAGGACGTTGTTGTCTGGACAGTTGAATGCTTATTAAAAAGTATGGGGTCTGTGGCATACTTTAGAAAATACGAGGGAAGGGTAGGTCTGAGCTTGTTTCTACTATTCAGACTTAAGTTTGCGATCCATTGCTAGATGAGTAGCAATGGCTATTGTCATTCCGTATCGATGTAGAAGTTATTTAATGTCATCAGTCCATATTCTCTTAGGCCGATCTCTTGCTTTTATATCTTTTCATGTGTAGCGACGGCTTTGGTTGTTTTGCATTCTTACTAGATGACGAAATCATTTGATCTTCTGTCTCTATGTGACTTCATGATTGTGATAGCATTGAGCTTTCTCATTCTATTTCCTTTCCGGCTTAGACTGATAGCTTTTCAAGATCTCAGCTAGTATTTGAATCATGCACTATGCCATCGCGTCTTTTGTAATGTTCACATTCATTTTTTCTAAAAACAGTCATTCTACTCGACAAGTGTGTACGAAAATGCGCCGATTAATACAACTATTATCATTATAACAGCCAGGGACCCAGAAAATAGCACTATGAAATATTCGATGAATTCAGGTAAGTTGTTCCATTAGTGTTTGAGGTTTATTTTAGATATTTACTTATGATTTTTGACTTTTTATTATATTGAGAACATGCTATGTTTAAAATTTGTCAGAAGTCATGACAAAGGAAGTTAAGTTACATTCGTACAATAAATTTCACTCGTTCACACAGAGGAGCTTAAGATATAAGTGGTATCATCATCATGAAGTAGCAGGTCCTTTGCAGAACGTCGCTCTCATCACGGTCTGCCTGAAAGAAACTCGATCTCTCGCCAGCTCTCCCGCCTCATGCACTTTCATACTAAATGAGTCACTTATACCCTGTGCCCATCTTCGTGTTGGTCGGCCCCTGCCCCTCCTTTCTGGTGTCATGCCCTCTGCTATAATTTTTTCCAATCCATCGTGGCGCTTGATATGACCAAAATATTTCAGCTTCCGAGACATGATGCTGTTTATTAGCCACTCTTCTTTGATGTTCAGATCTTTCAAGATGTCAGTATTTCTCCTCTTTTTCGTCCAAGACATTCTGAGAATCTTTCTATAGCATTTCAGCTCAACAGCCCCTATTCTCTTTCTTAAGGACTGGGAGATAGTCCACGACTCACACCAGGATGTTGTTACAAGAAGCGTGCTCTGAAAATTCTAATTTTGATCTCCTTGCTGGTGCTTAGCCATATAATTTTTAGGCTGCTTAATTGTAAGTGGTATAAAAAGCGGCAATTAAGTATTTTTGTGGGCGCTGGTTTTGCCAGGGGTTGTTTGACTGTATTAAAAAAAAAAATTAAAAATCGACAATTAGGACTTTTATTAAAAGGGATTTGAAGAGTCACTGGAGGTTCATGACTCGTAAACCAATAATTAGGTAACTGCGTTTTTGGCGGCGCTCCAGAAGTCATTGTGGGGTTTGGGGGGGGGGGGGGGTATGACTTGTATATAAAATAAAATACTCGTTTACCCACTTCAGGCCTGTTCTGTATATAGGGCTGGACCTATCTTTTGTAGACACTGACAGGACTAGAACACTTAACCATCAATTCCACCCCATCAGTGGGCTGTAAGCAAAGGTTGGTGACGTGATACGTATAATCCCGGCTAAAGGCCACGCTAGAATCCGGTGAGACGGCAACGACGAGAAAATATTGAATGGCCTCCAGCCCCCTTTTCCCTCCCCCTTTCCTGCCTCTTCCCACAGAGAGCACTTGAGTTCGGTACCCAATTCTCATCGCCGAACATTTGGATCTCAAAACGTGAGCTGGGTGCTCCGGGTATAAGGTATTTACGCACACCGGAGCCTAGCTGCCAACCTAAATCGACACAACCAGAATATACAATAACAAATAGCGAATAGAACCGCTTTGAGGCTCAACATAACATTTCACACACATATCCACGACATAATTAACCCGTTCTTGTTGCAGGAAGACAACTATAAGACCATTATGGTCACACGCGGAATATTTTCATATTTCGGAACCATCCAAAATCAAAAACCTTTTTCAGTACTTTTTGAGAAAATAAAATACTCAAAATTCTGAAACTATAAATAAAAGGACGTTGTGTAGAAAAGCTCGCTATCCTACGAAATACTCCTGGCCAAATCAGAGGGAAATGAACCCAAGAGGAAACACCACGAAGGAAAAGGAGAGAAATACACAGTTAACAACAGGGTAGAGGACGAGCGGTCTGACTCGAAAGGAGGCATTAAGCCCAGAGACGGCCCAAATACTAGAATTGTGTCACGAAAGTGACGCAAATAACCCAGACCACAAATATAGGCGGAGACTGTTAGCAGCCTCGGCTAGCTATCAGCAACCTGAAAGTGATCACACTTTTAATTTGTTTCTTTAAAGGAATCGGAAACAAATTTTGAGGACCAGTCGGCACTGGGTTGGTGATGTGCCAGCATCACGCGGCCGCTTTTTCTTCCAAGGAATGTGCGTGGGACCCATTCAAGGCTGGGTCAACCTAAGAGCCAAAGTCTTTTTTTTTTTTTTTAAGTCTAGCTCCGCCATGACCCAACCCCCGAGGTCAGTGGTGACACTATGGGGGGTTACTAGTGGTGCCTGGCTCTTAAGAAATAAAATACTCACAGGTCAAGTAGCCAATAGGGGCGTTCTGCAGAGAAATGGAGGCGCTTTTTCTGGAAGTTGTTTGGTTTATACCACTTGTCTCGGGGGCAGGGGTGGGGACGCTACCTGAAGAGGCTTGAGAAAGTTTAGGGTGGGATGCTTCTGAATGAATTTGTACTTGTAATAATCCGGATTTTCAGCTTTAAACTTGATGTGAAGCGTGAATTTCGTTGTGCCTAGCCCAACATTAGAAGTAAATGCAGATATCGTCCAAGATAACACAGTGTCAACCCTCAGATTGATATATAGACACTAAATTACCAATTCTTTTAGTGATTGTTTCTTTTAATATTTGACTCTTTTTGTTTGTCTCTGAGTTCTTGTTAACAGTGTTTCTGATTTTTCTTTTCAATCACGTTTTGTTCTACTGGTTGGTTTTTGACATATACACAAGGAGTCGCCACCTCACAGACTGATTGAAGTTTTACTCCACATGGCATCACACAGATCGATAAACATCCGGTGAAACAAAGTACCACCACGCAGACGAGGATCACGCGTGGAGAGGTCAAAGAAACCCCATTTAACTAATTAGTTAGGTTATATTAGGGATTCCGGCAACAGCCAGGTTGGGGCTTTAAAAAAACGAAAAAATTTGTCCCACATGGGACCTCAAATCTTTTTTTATCGCCACCTAGTAGGCGCCTAACGTTTATCTAAGGAAATATAAAAATCAATAATTAGGTCATTTGAGGCCTTTTATGTCACTAGAGGGATATAAGTCTTCTGGCCGCACGGAGCCCAATATATTATACGAGAAAATGTTTGCAACTGTAATTCGTTATAAATAATAATTTGTATTTTTTTTTTCTGGTAACTACCAGTGCTTCTGTTTTGCTGCTGTTCAAACTTAGACCTTTGTTTTCACTTTTCGTTACGATTATATCCATTATTTCTTGCAGCTGTGTTTCATTTTCAGCGATCAAAACTACATCGTCAGCATATTGCAGATTGTTAACAATATTTCCACGTTTGTTGCCTTCGCAAAATATTCATTCATTCATTCATTCATTCATTCATTCATTCATTCATTCATTCATTCATTCATTCATTCATTCATTCATTCATTCAGTGGCATGTCCCTCGCGGAACCTCGCTGCCATAACAACCCTCCGGAAAACCTTCCTATCCTGAGCAAGATGTCCTGCGTCTGATACATCCATCTGGAGATCATCTGCCACATCCTGCACCCATCTTCTCCTTGGCCTTCCTCTTCCTCTCTTCCCAGGCATATACCCCTCCATTATTGTTCTCTCTAGACTTCCATGACGTTTCAAGTGACCAAAATATTTCAATTTTCTTTGTTTTATTGTCTTTACTAGCCAACCCTCTTCAATATTTAGCTCTTGAAGTATGGATGCATTTGTTCTTTTCTTTACCCAAGATATTCTTAGAACCTGTCTGTAACATTTATATTCAAATGCATTTATGCGCTGTTCTGCTTGTTATATTCGCAGAATATAGATAATTAAATAATATGATAAAAACACAAATGTAGAGCTTTGAGAGAGAACCTAATAGGTTCCAGTGGACCAAGGTGTGGAGAAAAGATGCTGTCGCTGGATAGGACATACGTTGAGAAAACCTGAGAACAATACAACTGGAATGTCTTTTGCACTGGAACCCACAGGGACATAGAAATATAGGAAGAAAAAAAAATTACACTGTGAAGGGAGGTAGAGACTGATGTTAAAAAGATGGAGAGGATATGGGGAGAGCAGCATAGGATAGACCGACTTCATATGAGTTGGTTGAGGCCCTATTCTCCATTAGAGGTTAGAAAGGCAGAAGAAGGAGACATCGGCGCAGAATGACAAAAGCAAGTGCTACTCATCTAGCAATTGATAACCTCGGGCACCCCTCCCCCACCTCCCCCAAACCCCTACGACGTTCAACTGTAAAAAATGGGAATTTATAATGATGATGATGATAATATGATAATAACGTTGATGGTGGCGGTGATGATGAAGATGATGATACAAGGAGTGTAATGTGATGTTGCTGTGAAATCAACCACTCATACTTTGTTATCCCATGTCTCGAATGTTTCTTTATACATTTTCTATAACATTTTTCAGCGACTGAACGAGTTAAACGATTTGGACAAAAACGAATAAAACAATTTGATAAAAATGAATTTCAATAGCGCTGACTAATCTCAAAGTATTGGACCATTTCTTCCGCAGATATGTTCAGTATCGATCCTGACAGCGGTAAGGTAACGATAAAAACACCTCCAGATTACGAGACCCAGACTTCACACCTGGAGTCTATAACTGCCACTGATTCTGGGAATCCTCCCATGGCGGCAAGCGTCTTTCTGAGGGTAAAATAATTTATTAACATTTTATCTTACAACTGTATCCTAACGATACGTAATATTATATAAACGGGACATTGCTATTTGGTCCCATATTTCGCCACGTCTTCGTTTTAATAAAATAGTGTTTTGTCGCATTTTAAATTAGACCTGAAGAAAGATATCGGTTCTGTATCTACGTCGATGCGAACGCTTCGTAATGCTAGGGTGGCGGGTTCGATTCCAACTGCAGGCCAATTGCCTTGCGTCTGTTTCGACAGTGGTATTATCTGCTGTCCACCGGAGAGCTGTTTTTTGCCAGAGTATCACAATGCATTCTGCAAACATGTCCAAGCCATCTCCATCGTCTTACTTTGATAACATTTTCCAGTTATGCACATTCAGTTTTCCTCCTCAGTTCTTCATTTGTGATCTTGTTTGGCCAACAAATTTTTAGAATTCTCCTCAAACATTTATCTTAAAAAGTCTCAAGTTTATGTGTAATTCCCGCTGTCATTTTCCAACATTCACTGTCGTATAATAGTATTTTTTAAATGTTGTTCTTGTATATTCTGAGTTTTGTCTTCAAACTAAATCCATTTGACTGCCATATATTGTTAAGCATGGCAAATGCATGATTTGCTTTGTTTAATCTTGATGTTACATCCAAAGGGGTTTATATCGAAAGCAAATAAACGACTTTTAGTGCAACAAAGTCTGCCATATCATAACACCACATCTAGTCTGAAAATAGAGATGAAGACAGTCCATATAGCCTTCCAATGGCGTTAGAACCAGCTGCATGCACATTTCACTATTGTAACAGATTAGCATTCTGGGAAAGTTGGAGAGTGGTATGCTTCATGTGGAATGGCAAGCATTGATTCAGAGATCCCGGGTAGTTATCGTCCTTGATATATGTGAAGAGGATTCAGGTGTGTCGGGAAACGAATAAGCAGACGGCTTGACTGGTTTTACACTAGTTGGTGGTAAATTTATGCATAACAAGCTAACTGTGGTAAGGGTCATTTACTATTCTTTAACTAATCATTGTGTAATTTACTATTATCGCCCCCCCCCCCCCCACTTAATCCTCCGATCCCCTTGCATATCAGAACTTTAGAAGCTATAAAAATAGCCTAGAGTTTCATTCACAACTTTAAAGTTCAGCGAGACGTTTAGCATTGTGACCCATACGAGATAGACACCATCTGTCGGTGGAATAAAACGTGCACAATTGCCCGCTCTTCTGCAAGGCTAGGAATCGAATCAAACACTGATTAAAAAGAGAGTACAATATCACTTGAGTCTGCGTTTTTGAAACTGTTTACGCTCGGGGGTTAAATTATGGCCGAACGGTTGGAACGCTGGGCTACCAAGCGGGAAATCCGGGTTCGAATCCCCGGTAAGGCTGGGGATTTTGTTTTTTCGTCAGGGGAAAATAAAATCCCCACCTGCACAGTCGTGGCGACAGCACTAGTCATGCGGCCCTAAATCCTCAGTCTCAAATCCCCCTCCCCCGCCCTCCCCCCCCCCCTCCGCCAGCACAGAAAAAGTGGTACAACAAAGGCATTAATTGGCAGTTAATTCAGAGTTGGATGTTCTGTTTTATTGCTTTTAATTTCACGCGACTAGTGATACGAGTTTTTTTTTTTTCGTTGACTTCAGTTTACGTTTTGTCGAAACATACTTAATAAATGTGACATCCAATTTGCAACTCCGTGTGCATCTATTTTAAACAAGGTGTATAAATGTCTAGCTTCTACTAAAGTAATGAATTCGTTGTATTTTTTTATGTTTAAATGGAAAAGTATGAGCATATTTGCACAAGATTCCCATTATGACCCTGTCTGGTGGCAGAACAGCTGTCTTCCGCTTTGTAGACATCTCAAAAAGCACGAATATTCATAGAACCACTAACGACGCCTAAGAATATCGAAAACACCTGAACTCGCAAACTAAGAGACAAAGTTCAAATCGAACCCAGAGCCTTTATGTACGAGGCAAATGACTCAGACTCTTTACCATAGAGACTTCTATTGATACTTTTTTTTTTCCTTTTTTTGAATATCCAGAAACAATGAGCTGTTAACCCTTTGGGTCGGTACTATGGATATCGCTACTCTTCGATCTTGATTGCATGATATATACCGTAAATCTGGGAGAAATGTGGCTTTTCTGCCCACCCCTGGGCATGAACCCGCCCACAAGTTCGTCACCCGGTCGCCGCGAAGTCAGGTTTAGCCAACTGAGCTAGCGAGCTGAGCCTTGATACTTATAAATGCTAATTCTCGCTCGCACTAAGCGGGTACTGTAAAACTATCTGACAAAATGGACTTAAATGATCCTTTGCTTTTAATTACCCCCTTCTCTCTCTCTCTCTCTCTCTCTCTCTCTCTCTCTCTCTCTCTCTCTCTCTCTCTCTCTTTCTCATAAAGTCTCATTTACCCATAGACTTAAATAAGCATATAGGGGCGCCAATGCAAAGAAAACACCCAGAAAAAAAGGGGGTGGTGCACTGAGTGGGTGTCGGTCCCCTTACAAATTATGTAAGGTCTGGGGACGGCGAACGAAACCTAAACTTTGTTTTAGTGCTTTATAATAATGATAATATGCTAAATGGTAAATGGTATTGACGCCTCTGATAACACACATGTAAAGACATTTGTTGCTAAAGGATGTAAGCACAAAGGTCAGGAGTTAACAT